AGACTTGAAGTCCTGCATACTGTCTTTACTAGCCAAAACCAAATAGAGTCCTTCCTAACAACAAGCATCAGGCTGGTTTTGCTGGGCTGCGGGAGCAGTTGGGTGGAGTGACACTTCTGAAGGTCTCCTGTCAGGAGCATCTTCTTCACTGTGGTCAAGGTTTTGCCACTTGGTCTTGACCTTACAAAACTATACAAAAAACTTGTATGCCACAAAGTAGGAGGAAGATGGATGTGGGATGTAGGTGTTTCGTGGGAATTAACACTTGAAAACATTGCTCTGAATGAACAAAGTGAAATAAACACAAAGGTATAGAGTATGTGTGTGTGCAGTTGAGATGGCATGACTCATGGTACCTTAGCTTACGGGGAGCCGCATCAGGTAAAGACACAATGCAAACACCAGCCACATAGTGGCCGGTGTTACTCGTTTGGAAAACCAGACCTGGACCCAACTCAAGTTCAGATAGGCACTGCAATGTCTGTGGAAGAGTACAGGGAGCAGTTGAGGAAATACCCTGCTTCCCTGAGTTTCTTGTTCAGATGTGCACTTTCCCGAAGAGCAAGTGCTCCACATTGGGCTGCCCTAACAGTAGCCTGAAAAAAACCAAGAGGCCTTATTGACCTTTATGGTGAAAAGGCACCAGAATAATCCCTCTAGTGCTTGGCACTGCTCATGACAAAAATAGTCCTAGGCACACTCACTGCCAACCTCTCAAATCCAGAGGACAGAGCTTAAATGGTAGGGTACATTCACCATGCATTTAGGTATGTTTAAAAGAAGCTTAGATCTATTAACACATACTTTGATTGTTATGAAACCTTTATACCCCAATCAAGAATTCACATTTCTGTCCATACCAAAGACATTTATTAAAACCTAGGAACCTTGACAGAAAACAGGTTTAAGACAGTATTCCTTTTGTAAAGCTGGGAAGGCAGAAAAGGACTGACTCCCTAGTTTAGAGATCAAGAATTGTGAATTATATGAAAAGATGTGTGCTTCATATTTGAGGCAAAGACCCAATAAAATGAAAGTTTTTATTTTCATTTTTTAAATTTTCAGTACATTAAATTTACTCATAAAAACATTCTAAAAATGTACAATTTTTCTTTTAACAAAGTATAATAAAACATAAAAACCCCAAAAACAATACTTGACATTTACAATTCAAAATCAAATTAGCAGAATATTAAATATTTACAAAACTATATTTTTAAAAAATATTTATAAAGTTACATGCAATTTTGTAGAACTGACAAAAGAATGGCTCAAAAATGGGAGACTTTTCCTTCATTCCTAAAAAGAAAATATGTTCAATAGAAGCTGTGAAGATTCTTAAGTATACGAGGTCTTCAGTTTCAGTACCAAAGCCTTTGTCTTTGTGCATGTGAGGGGCTTGTTACAATACCCGCCGGCACGCCCCTCCCTCCACTAACAGTGTAGTAACATTGACCTTTGGCCTCAACCAGCACAGTATTTAGTTTTGTGAATGTTGATTAGAGATTCTTTCATAACCTTGGGACTTGTCAATAATTGGGCCTCTTCAGAACCATGGCTTTAAGTGTCACCTGACTCATTCTTTGGGAGTCATCTGTACTTTGGAAAGGATGGCCAATTGGATCAGGTTCCACAGGCCCATCCTCTGAGATGGGGGGTCAAGCTGAGCAGAGACATGGTTTCCCTTATAACCTTTAAGACTCTTCAGTGGGTAATACCATCAGTAAAACTAGCAAGGCATCAAATCATGAGAGGAGGAGTAGTGACAAAATGATAGGGGGTGAAGAGGGGAGGGTGCAACTCAATTTCTGCTTGTCAAGTGCTCACTAGAGACTGGAGTGAGTGAATGAGTGCAAGCCTCAGTCAACCTGTGCTCAAACAGGGAACACGTTACAGCTGTGTGACGTCAGGCAAAGTTACTACCACTGCTACTGCGCCTCCATACATAGTGTGTAGTGTAAACTAACTATATCGACTTCTTGTGATAAAGGACTTATAGAATTCTAAATATAGTGAATTAAAATACTCAACCTACAAACTACTGTATTAACAAGCTGACTCCTGTAATCTTTTGGAGATTATATAGATGATGCTGGTTTTTTTTAAATATCCAATCACACCGGCTTTCAAAAAATAATTGTTTTTTTTAGAAGTGCTAGCTCCCATTTCCTCAGTGCTCTTTAACAATTGGGAGTTTTAATGTTAAAACATTTTCCTATTTTCAGTATGACATGAAACAAAAATTAGAAAATAAGGTAGAAAATTGACAGTTTTGCTTTAAAAAAAAAAAAGATGAAATAGTTGTTTCATCCCAACATTGTATTCTACTTTGATCTATACATTCTACTTTCCCCATTCTTGAAGATAAAAATGGGGTTAGAAACTTTAATATATGACAGACTACATAAAGCAAAGTGGCTGGTGCCACACCTACCTGGTTGCCACAGCACTTGGAAACAGCCACGATTTCAGGAAAACGACTAAGTAGTTGAAAGGATCAGTCTGATCTGTGTTTCTAACGTGAGGACATCTTCTGAGGAAATGCAAAATGCTCTTTTAGGCCTACTGGCTTTGGTTGCTTTCGGAGAGAAATTCATCAGAGATAGTGCTGCTAGCAAATATTCCCAAGGCCAAGTATGCAATTCACTAGGGAAGAGATCTGATGGATCAGCAGCTTTGTGGCCTGTGTATATCATATCTACATTTTACAATTCTCAACGTGGAATGACCTCATTGGAAATGTCACACCACACACATAGTTTCAAAGAAACAGAATTTTTCTAAGACCTTTGATGACTGGAACACAGCCACACAATGTCTGAACTTATTAACCTTAATTTGAAAGTCATACTTCAAAGTTTGTTTCAATTTTTTGTTGTATTTAATGCTAATCTCTAATATTTACCAAAATAGTTATAAGGGTGACAAAAGACACTTTCATTTCCAATACTGACCATTAAAACAAAGAAACTTAAATATGACTTTCTTTTGTTATGAGTCAGTTTTCCACAATTTCACTGTGTTGAAATAAGATTTATTTAAAATATTTCTTTGTTTAAAAAACCAAAAAATTTAAAAGTTTGGCTTTCAGCACATATCCAGGCCACTGTAATGGCCTTCAGAAATATTAAAATCGTAAACATCAATGAACACTCTAAGTCTTCCTTTAACATAACATGACAAGTTCCAGTCTAATATTCTTTAAGGCAAAGTTGTGTCAGTTCTCATTATTTTGACATTTTTGTAGTGTTTATAATTTAAGAGATCAATGTAACATTCCCCCCAAAAACTTGTAAGCATCAGCTTTGCTTAAAAACTGTATGTAATAATACTGTGTACCAGGAAGAGATATAAGAATACAGAGGTCTGTCAATTCTGCATTGCATAGAAATAAAACTCTACTAAAATAAAACTCTAAAAAATTCTACTAAAAGCCTTCCATAAAAAAAATGTAACAACTTTCTGCTTTAGTTTCCAGGAAGCCAGGAAACTGATCTCAAAATTTGAAACCTCCTATCACAATGCCTCAAATTCTAGAGTATTCTTTCTATTTACATCAATTTTGTTTGAGGCTGATTGTCCCATTTTAAGAATGTTCTGAATATTACATTTTCTCTTTTTAAATAAATATTCAACTGCAAAAATCCCTGGGTAAGGCCTTCCTGATTAATATTTTAATACTGAAGGCGTTAGCATTTAAAATAATATTTGAGCAGAAAATTCCCTTTAGACTTGAAGATTGAAGTTCCTAAATTTCAGATCAGAAAGCTCTCATTGCAATAGGGTGAAATTGAGAACTGTGTGGTAAGGACTTTATTTCCCACCTCAATAAAACTAGACTTTTGCAGATCCTATAGCTCTGTCCTGTTGGTGTGGTCTCTTTTAGAGTCTTATCTTTTTCTATTGTAGCCTTCCAGGTTTTCAACAGAACTAATAATACAAAATAAATCAACAAGAGAAAATTTCAAATCTTTTGCTCATAAATTACAAGACTATTATTGTTGAAATGTGTGTCTCAAGTGTGAATCTGTTAACAGTAAGCCTTGGGAAGGCTATGTGAGGTTTTAGACTTGAAAACTGCTAAGGATAGATAGCATCTGTTAGAGACAACTCACAAGGGCCATGCTGTGACCGTGTGTCTGCAAGAGCTCCTTTGTAGTGGAAGATGACAGGCCTCAAAGCTATGGAAGGACCGATAAAGAAGATGTTCTCAAAGCTTTGACAGCTAGGGATTTTTTGGGACTTGGACCCTTAGAAATTAAGTTGTTGCAAGTAACTATTTCTACTTAATAATGTAGTTTAAATTTATTTGCAGAAAAAATTAAAAACCTGAAACTGCTACAAAGTGTTTACGGAGGGAAGTAAATACTAAGATCTCTGTGTGTACAAAGTGACTAGCCTGCTGGTGCCAACTCTTTAAAGACAGATTCTCTGAATATCTTGCACTGACTGCTCTCAGGGAGTCTGTCTTCAGAACGGCAGAGATTGACATCAGTTTACATTCTTCTGTAGTGCAATCCCTAAAAAAGCCCAGAAATTAGTGCCTAACCACTTTAGGAACAAAACAAAAGTGACCTTTTCCCTCACCCAGGGGTGTCAAGAGTCCGACTGGTGGAACTCCCTTGGAGAACTCCAGCCTTCAGTTCTCGATTCCGATCTCGCGTAGCTGCCCTGGAATTACGTGAGCCTAGGAGGACCAATGACAGCAGTGCTCTTCCAGAGACGGGAGGCCTCTGCATTGCCATCAAGGGTGGAGGTGGCCAATTTCACCTGCTGTGGATACCCACTAGGCAAGTCCTGACATCAAGCTCCAATCTAGGATTTTGGCAATAAAACTGAGTTTGATGCACTCCTATGCTAGGTTTTCTATCCAGTCTAATAAAGTAAAGCACCTTTGGATTAAAGATATTAAGCTCAACAGCAACTAGACTTCTCAGTTTTGTATTTAATTTTCCTTATGTCTCCATGGCTTAATAGTGTTCTGTTGCCAGAGAAAAATATCAATCTGTGGAGTCCAGACTTTCTGCTGGAGGGGCATATTTCAACCTAAAAGTACCTAGAGAGAGGGAAAAAAAGAGATCAAATTTGAATCACTGTAGAATTACTACAAACAGCTGATCTGTCCAAAGTTATTTCCAGAGTCACTGGTCAAAATTCAGGTGCTGGGAATCTAGACCACCTGTTCTAACCACTGCCACCACCCCCCCTCCCACCCCACAACTGATGCAAATTTACTAGTTTTCCGAGAATCAGACAAGGGGTGAAATGACTGAGGTTGCCAATCTATTCCTTGATTCTTTTTAGGAGTGCTTTTTCTGGGACTCCAACAGCACATAGCTGGTTGGCCATCCAGCATGCATCTCTCGGGACATGCGTCCTCTGGGAACAGGGCATCAGGACAAGCAGCACAATCTCTATCAGCAGGGGTTGCCATAGCCCGATTGCCACACCTGCCACCAGACCAGCTGAGTCCGAGCTGTTTGTCTCTAGGTCAGCAGTCACCCACCGGCCCGAAAGGCTGGTGACCACTGGTTTAAGGAAACCTTTGCGGCAGCAGCCGCCAACCGGTAGTCCGTGAGGTCCAGAAGGTTGGTGACTGCTGCTCTAGATGACGAAGATACACAGGCAGGTCTGGAAATCACAGGTTTAGAGCAATCCTCATACCTACAGAGATCAAGTGACTTTTTAAGTCTGCACAGTGAGTAGTCACAGAGCTGGGACCAATTTTCCCAATGCCCGGTTTAATCATCTTTCCAAAACCAACAGCGAGAACAAATCCACTGTCATAAATACATCAACCATACATTTGAATTTGACTAAAGGAGACAAAAGAGAGTGAGTGGGAGAAAGTGGGGAAAGCAGAAGATGGTAGAGCAGTGAGGATGATATCACACATGCACATACACAGGCCAACAGCCCTGGCACCCTGGGGGGAGAGCAGCAGTGGGGATACCGATGTCCACCCGCAGTGTTTGAACTTGTGCTGTATGCCCTAGGCTTTCGGCTAAAGATTGGGGAGTGGCATTAAACTGCTGATACTTGCTTCCCAGTCACATGGCAAGAAATAAGAAACCAAGGAGCCATCAGGCCAGAGCCCCTCTCCACTGCCAGCTCAACATGCTCTAGAATGAGAAGTATGATGACATCATGGAGACACTCTCAGAACCAAAATAACCCACCTTCTGGGGGCTTTAGAACCTACCAAGAATTTCATGCTTTTGCAAAGAGCATTTAAAAATTACTTTTTGCTTTAAAAGAAGCAAGTTTACTATTATTTCCATAAACAGTAAGCCTTCGCCTGCACCTCTCTGGGCAGCGCTGCACTGCTAGCCAGTGTAGCCCGTCTGCCTCTGGAGCGTCACCGGCCGTGGCCCGCCTTTACCTTGCCGATTGAAGTCCATGGACGGCTGCTTGCAGTCCTGAGCGCGGTGACCGGTGGCCCCACAGTTGTAACATGAGAGATTGCCGCTCTTTTTGTGACTGGAACCATTGCTACTGCCCACCAAGCCCTGGGCCTGGTACACACCAGCTGCCCCTGCCATGAAGCTCTGCATGGGGGGGACGGTGAATGTGGACTGGCCGCCCAGCACGGGCTCGGCAGGCACACTGCTGCCATATGGTGAGTGCACAACCGGGAAGGCGCTGTTGCCGTACTGCTGGGTGCCCACATAGCCGCTGCCACACACAGGGCTGAAGGGCAGGAAGGGGAAGGGGAAGACAGATGGCCCCGAGAACGGGTGCTGGAAATAGTTGGCGTAGCTGACGGTCAGGCCACCAGAGCCGCAGCTCCCGCTGCATCCACAGGATGTGCACACGACACAGCCTGGTGGCGGGCCTGGGGAGGGCTGTGGGGGTGCCGGCGGCTGCTGATGGTGATGGTGGTGGTGATGGTTCTGAGCAGAGGCAGGAATGTTCCCGGGGGAGCCGCTGCCACTGCTGCTGCTGCTGCTGCTGTAGAAACTGCTTTCAGGGACCGAGGAGAGCGCAGGGCTGGAGCTGGGGGCTGGGCAGCTGGGCACAGTGGCCATGTTTGGGAAGGACGGGGAAGGGTGGCTACTGGAGGAGGCAGTGTTGCTGTTCGCACAGAAGCTGCCCTGCAGGGGGCCCACAGGCACACTGCTCATTGCAGAGAAGGCAGCTTTGGTGTTGGCTGTGTACAGAGCAGTCCGGGGGTTTATTATTGCAGGGGGCACACTGATCTGCACGTTATTAGAACAGGAAGTCTGTCCAGAAATGACAGAATCCGCAGGGACAGATGAAGACACCAGAAGTTTGATTGGTGGCCGAGCCACGTGGAAGACCGTGCTGGATGTTCCCACGGCAGCAGTGCTAGTCTCCACCACCAGGGCCGGCTGCTGGGCCGGCTTCATCACCCTGTCCAGGGCAGACGCATGGACAACTTTGGTTCGGGGACCAAAGGAGACGGTGGGTGACCCGGAGCTGCTCTCGGCAAGTCCAGAGAGGACTTGCATGGGCTGATGGGGGGCAGACGTGGGCAACACTTCCATCATGGCATTGCTAAAACTCTTGTCCACTTTGATTCCACTTCTTGGTCCAGAGACTTTATTCCTTTCTTCTAGAGACAGCAGTGAGTGCATAGAAGACGAGAGGAGCTTCATGTCCGTGCCGCCCCTCTCTGATTTGTGCACGGAATTCAGCATTCTGATGGGTGCAATGTGCGAGGCTGCAGTCATCATCTGTGGAGGCAGGGGGTGGTGGCCTGAAGGGTTGGAGCCCGCCTCATTCTGCACAGGGAGAACCTGGGCCGTGGGTCTGGCAGAATTCGAAGTGAAATGACTCAGTAGCAGGACAGGCTTCTCCTTGTCAGAGCCCTCCGTGTGCATCTCCACACCTAGATGGAAACAGAGAGGTCAGCACGGCCCCACAGCGTCGGGCAGAGGCAGCACCGCGCCAGCCATGCTGGGCATCCTTACGCCTGTCATTCTCCTCAGCGCTGTCTGAGCTCTCTTCCCGGGCCTGCACCCCCATCGGGCTGGGGGAAGAGCTGGAGCACTCTGAGGAGCTGCCTTCCCGGGCCGTCTGGTGAGGGGGCTGCTCCACTTCCACCCGCAGCACTGTGGAGAAGGGACAGGTGAGAGTCCAAAGGTGGCACCCAAATCCACGCGTCACAGAACTCCAACAGGGGTCCTTTCACCCACCGCCGTGCAAACCTATCGCACACTGGTTTCTTTCATCAATCCCAAGAAGGTAGGTATGGGTATTTCCATATTCAACAGGGCTGACAGAACAAACAGTTCTTAGAGAACAAACCGCCCAAGGTCACGGCAAGTTATGTGGCAGATGCAAACACAGCGATGCTCTCAGCCAGATGCTCTAATGCCTCCCTATCCTCAAACACCAGAGAATGAGAGCAAAGGGTTCCCAAACCAGCATGGTGCTGCAAAAGGAGTCATCCACCTTTTCCAAAGGGAGTCATGAGTCATCTCACCCCGTTTCATGAGGTTGAGGGACAGAGACCGTTTTAGTTAAATAACCACCTAGAAGATACTCTGCACTTTTTCCGTCCTCATTTTCTATTACTCTTGATATTTCTACTGGTGTGGCTTGATTGGTTGGAGCGTTGTTCTGTATACTGAAAGGTTGCGGGTTCGATTCCCAGTCAGGGCACATTCCCAGGTTTTGGATTTAATTCCTAGTCGAGGCACATTTGGGAGGCAACCAATTGATATTTCTCTCTCTCTCCTTCCCCCTCTGTGAAAATTGATGAAAGCATGTCCTCGGGTGAGGATTAAAAGAAAAAAAGAAAGAAAACAACAGAGCAACTTATACAGGGGTCCTCAACCTTTCTTTGAGGGAGAGGGAGAGGCAGGAGGAAGAGGGGGGATAATGGCTAAAAAATCAGATCACTGAAGCTTCAAGTCCCCGGAGCAGAAAGCGGTAGTGAAACATGGAGGAGACTTTCAAAGGGAACCTTTGAGGCAATGACTTACACATGACCTCTGTGCTCCACCTAGGGCCGTGGTCGGCAAACTGCGACTCGTGAGGCACATGCAGTTCTTTGGCTCTGTGAGTGTGGCTCTTCCACAAAAATACTACGGCCTGGGCGAGTCTATTTTGAAGAAGTGGTGTTAGAAGAAGTTTAAGTTTAAAAAAATGTGCTCTCAAAAGAAATTTCAATCGTTGTACTGTTGATATTTGGCTCTGGTGACTAATGAGTTTGCCGACCACTGACCTAGGGGAAGAGAGAGGTTTTCATTTATTTTGTATAATTCCTATTCTTTCCTTCTCAGTGTAATAGTTTCTGGAACTAATTCTTTAGCCCAAACAACTTTAGGCAATTCACCAGTATCCAGCTTCTAAGAAAATGACCCATCTAATTTCCTATGGTAGAGACTGCAAAAGCTAAAATTATAAATAGTAATTGTAAATACTAAAAGCTATATATGGCAGAAGGGTGTATTATGAGGTCTAACAATTATCAAAAGGCAGACTGCATTCCATGTGTCATTGCTGACCCGGCTCTCACCCACCTGCAGTGTGGGGGCTTCGGACATTCTGCACGGGCCCTACGTGGCTTGTGGGGGGCACACGGGCCACTCCACTGCTGGTGACCGGGGGTGGGGCTGAGGGGTTCAGGCACCGTTTCTCTGACTTCTCCCTGTTATAAGAAAGCATGCAAACAAGCAAGTTTTAAATTCTGCTGAAAAACCCTCTCATGTTTCACCAACTCTGCATAAGTGCATATATTCTACACAAAGGTGACTTTCATTAAAATAACCCCAGGATAGAAGATATCACATTCTAACTAGTCAGATTCCCTAGAAGGACCTTTCCTAGTAAAACTTTCCTAGGGCAACATTCATAGAATTTTAAAAGCATTAACATGTGCTAAGCAATCAAAAGTGATCAATCACTAATGTGTAACAAAGCTCTACGTCCTAGCATCTGTTCAGCAGGTCTGAAGCTAAAATAACAGACATTTCACAACATCACACTTACTTTTCCAGTTCCAGTTGAGTCTTGAGTTTTTTCTTTGCTCCCATGGTAAGGGATTCAAATTTATTTAAATCTTCTTCCGTAAGGCTCAGAAACTTCCATAGAAGAAATAAATTACAAAATTATTGAGAATTAGGATTCTGAAAACAAAGAACTTTGATTCCATTTCTAGGACATGCAAACAGACCAAAGAATGGATAACAAAAGATTTGGGAAAACTAAAACATTTACTTGCTGAATGTTTTGGTATCCATAGTTCAAAATACAAGACTCTCATTTTGCGTCTGTAAGGGCCCCAGGCACCTCACAAGGACTCGGTGAAGCCCCATGCTGTGTAGGAGGTGATGACAGAGATGCAGTCTGTGGAAGTGCCCCCTTCCTCGCTGGGACACCCGCCTCAAACGGAAGCATTTATCCTCCTGAAGACAGGAGGACAGTTTCTTTTAACGGCACTTTTTTTCTTGATATCTGGGATAACAGTAACTTTGTTGGGCAGCGAGTGATCCAGAAGAGCAGAGGTCATCAGAACTAACCCGGCCTTACACCAAGCAGACAAATGATGTTCTGGCTCTCAAGACAGTCGATGACATGATTTGTGAGTGTAGCCATTTTAACTTATATGTTAAAATGTCTAAAGCTGATCATGACCAGTGTTAGTAAAATCTATTGTTTCTAAGATCTACCAATCCTAAACTGAAACCATTACAAATATACTTAAAATTTATTTTTTTATTATGCAGTAAAAATGGATTTCTAAATTCAATTGCAGAGTTTTAGACAAATGAAATTTTACCTAGATAAAAGCCACCAAATCATTTTATCCAACAGGGGGAGCTCAGAGTTCAGTTATCGCATATAGGTCTAATTTAGTTTTATCATTGATACCACGACTTAAGAAATTTCAGAATTTAAAAGTGAAATAATGCTCATCTGAACTTTCTATTGTAAAAAATAATTTCTATGCAGCACTGCTTGATATTAGCATCCATCTATTCCTTTAGCTATTTGACCCTAAATCAAGCCAGATCATTAGAGAGCCACTTACTGGGACCTAAGTGTTTGGGCCCCTTGAAGTGAGCATCAGCACAGGCACAGGCCTATAAGGAAGGACGTACAAGATGGGGAGTGGTGGATGTGGGCACCAAAATTCACAATTTCTACCGATTGCAGGACTGATGGAGACACAATGTCCTTCTCATCACATAGAGTACCAAATTTGTAAAGATCCCAAACTACCTAAAAAAAAACAAACCTGTTTATTTGCAAGCAATCCTATTCTAGCTTTTGCTTCAGTGGCAGGCAACCTTCAAGTTCTAATCCACTGCCACCCTCCTGGGAGCATGCAGGACTTAGGGCATGCCTCTGTAGGTGTTAAATTCCAGGCACTATGATTTCCACAACACATACAGTTAAGAAACCCAACTGACTTCCTCTAGGAATGAAGTCAGAAGAAAAGTTACCTGGGAAAACAAGCAAATTCTACATTGCCTGCTTAGCAGCCAACATACCTTCTCCATTGTAAGCTGTTTGAAGACGGGATAGTATTTGTGCAAACGCAGTTTCCTCAGCCAATCTAAAATCCCATTTTGCTCCTGGGTCTGAGGGGTCTGCAGACTGGAAGGCATTAGGATGGTAGGCGAAGTGTCCATCTGGGTGCGGTAGGCCAGCGCCGAGCCCCCGCCCCCCGTGTGGGAGCAGTGGGGCAAGGCAGCCGCGCCAGCTGAGTGCTGTATGTGGTGCTGGGCACCACTCTGAGAGGACGGGATGCCGGCTACTCCACACACAGGCCTGCGAGAACAGAGGACATGTGGTTTCAGAAGACTGCAGCCTTACTGTTAGAGGCATGCACAGGCCAGCTTCTCCATCCCGGATGCATCTGCAGTCCCATCCGCTGCTCACCACAGATCCTTTTCTGCCCCACCACTCCATCCCACTGAAGTCTGACGTCTGTAGGCACGTATGTGTACATGCACATACATGTATCTATTTATATGATGTTTAAGAACATGTGTACATATGCATTTGTACGTACATGTTTAAGAGTATGTATCTATGTGTGCACATATATGTGTATGTTCATATGTGTGTGTCACAACTTGACTAGTTTCTTTGTTACTTTTATGATTTGTGACAATCGTAAATTAAAACTGACTCCTAAATCTTAAATACTCAAATTAACCTTAAAAAAAAATCCTAGAAGCTGGAAGGAACTTCCTGCCCTTGGCCCCACATGGATCAACTATGTGCTCATTACATACCAGGCTGAGTGCTACGCGGTAAAGAAGAAAGTCAGCGCTTTCTAAGACCTCTCTAACTGCCAAGTCCTTCACACAACTGTGCGCGTGCGCGCATGCTCTGTGGTATCAGCACATTAAAAATATCAGCTGTCAGACAGGCAGATGGCCTTTCTGTCACCTGAGCACTCCTACCATCGCTGTCCGGCTCACGAGAACAGAGGCCCCACAGCAGCACTCTGGCATCAGGCCACTCACCTGCTGGGAGCCTGTATAAATGAAGGTTCTCAGAAATTCTGGCTTCCTAGAATGAGCAGGGCCTACAAACTGGCACTTAGTAGGGGTCCTTGGGAATTGCAATTCCAGTTGCTTAGAGAACACTTTTTTTTTTTTTTTTTTAGAAATCTTAAATTGGATTATCTCTATACAATTCTTCTCTCAACATTTAAACTAAGATTAAGAATGACTTATTTACACACAACCAAAAGTACAACGCTGATTTAAAAGGTGTTGGTTAGCCAGCCAGTGCTCAGCATTTGAGCACTGACTCAGGAACCAAGAGGTCACCTGTTCGGTTCTCGGTCAGGGAACATGACCAGGTTCCGGGCTTGATTCCCAGGAGGGGGCATATAGAAGGCAGTGGATCAATGATGTTTCTCTCTAATTGATGCCTCTATCTCTATCCTTCTCTCTAAAAATCAATAAAAACAATAAAAAAGAAAAGGTCTTGGTTACATGAAAGAGGTCTCACCTTCCAGACACGCCCATCATGGTACCAACTTTAGAAAGGGAAAGGTTGCCAGGACCTGTGAGTTAAAATAAATATCATAAAATTTACAGACAATAAAAATATTCTCACTTTTATTTAATCCCATTTTACAAACTCACTTGGACTTTGAAGCTGTTGGGTGGGAGATGAAGTGCTGAAAAATTTCTTAACATGGTCATTTTTCAGTACGTGAGAAGGTAATGAAGCCAAATACCTAAAAATTAAACCAAGGAGCTTATCAGTATTAAAATGATATTACCACAGACTGGGAGAGAAATTTCAATTCCCAATTAAGAGAAATACATATATATTCATCTAGACTTAATTCAATTTAATCCTATTATGATTCATAGTTTCCCCATATCCCTTTTCCTTGTATGTTATTACACTGTATGACCAAGTCTTTCAGGGCCTGATGAGCTATAACGTGACCACAGCCAGTGGCATCATAATCACCGGGAACTTGCAGCCATTGTACTGCCACTAGGTCTCAGGCGCTAAGATGTCAGGTCCCATTCTGGAGATCAGGCAGCAGGCCTGCCCCTCCCTGCACAGTTACAAAACCAGACGCTAGGTCAGGATCCAGGGTCCACAGACACCTGGCCCAGGAGACTTTTTGTTAGACCCTGGAACAGTCTGAACTTTCCACTATAGAGCAGAAATAGTAATCAGATATAATTTTTTTTAAAAATAAATCTTTATTGTTCATATTATTACAAATGTTCCTCTTTTTCCCCCCCTCCGTTGCTCTCCTCCACCAGGTTCCCACCCCACCCTTTGCCCTTTCCCCACCCCCCATTGTCCTCATCCGTAGATGCACAGTTTATGTTCAGTCTCTTCCCACACCCTTCTCGCCCCTTTTCCCCAAGAATCGTCAGTTCACTCCCCTTCCATACCTCTGTAATCAGATATAATTTTATCAGACTGTTAAAATTACATTAAATAGGAGCATATACTAGTAGATTGATTTTTTATTTATTGATCTTATAGAAAGAGAGGAGAGGAGAGAAGGAGGGAGGGAGAGGAAAGAAGGGAAGAAGAGAAACATCAATTTGTTTCACTTATTTATGCATTCATTGGTTGCTTCTTGTATGTGCCCTGACTATGGGATCGAATCTGTAACCTTGATATGTCAGGACAATGCTCTAGCCAACTGAGCCACCCAGCCAGGGTGAAATTCCTTTGCTCATATTCTCAAAATCACAATTAGGTTATTAAGAGTCTTTGAACTGCCCATAACTGATAAATATCCCTAGAAACGAAAACCATCCAGAGTAGCCCTAACTGGTTTGGCTCAGTGGATAGAGCGTCCGCCTGCGGATTGAAAGGTCCCAGGTTCAATTCCAGTCAAGGGCATGTACTTTGGTTGTGGGCACATCCACAGAGTGGGTGTGTAGGAGGCAGCTGATTGATGCTTCTCTCTCATCTCATCAATGTTTCTAATTCTCTGTAAAAAATCAATAAAATATAAATAAAATAAAATAAAACCATCCAGAGTAATGTACTAGTATAACCTCAAGAGCTGCTCAGATGAACATGCAGCTCATGTCTGGAACCGCCCAGCCTGCCCACACTGCAGAGGGCAGTCACCACCAGAAGGGCTGCTCCCTATGGCCCCGGGGTGGGGTGAAGAGCATACCTCAGGTCCGCTTCCAGATCCATGTGGTTTCGCTCTACATAAAATGAATCTGGGCCAGCTAAGCAAGGAATGAATTTCTCCAAATTTTCTTCAGGGTATAGCTGAGATAACTGAAAGAAATGAAAAAGCTTTAGGAAGTATGTCAAAGTTCATTTTAAAACAAGAATTCTTCCATATAAGAAAACACTTGGGTAGGTATTAGATGGTGATATCTGCTGGTATAATACAAAGTACTCTTCTATTAGCTCCTTGGGATGTAGAGAACCACAAAAGAACATCACACTCCCACCATACCATCAAGAAAAGGCTTGGTATTCTGCACATAGTACCTTCCCTTGAGCCCAGCAGAGAGCTGAATTGCAAGGTCACTACCTGAACTGATTTTCAAGAGGAACCATTCCTCTGAGGAGAGACGAGACATGTGAACTGTCAGCTGTGGCAGAGCACTAGGAGGAGATGGCTGCCGTATAAGCAGATAGAAGAGATTGGCCAAGATGGACACATTCCCACAAGCTAAATGTGACATCCATCAGCCAGGAGCTCAGACACAGGAGTGTGCCTTAACTTCCAAGCTCTATTCTATTTTTTTTTTTTTTTTAGGTTGAGTCTTTTTTTTTTTTTTTAATAAATCTTTATTGTTCATATTATTACAAATGTTCCTCTCCCCTCCCCCCCATTGCTCTCCTCCACCAGGTTCCCACCCCACCCTCTGCCCTTTCCCCACCCCCCATTGTCCTCATACATAGGTGCACAGTTTATGTTCAGTCTCTTCCCACATTTCCCTCTCCGCTTTTCCCCAAGAATCGTCAGTTCACTCCCCTTCCATACCTCTGATTCTATTATATTCAACAGTTAATATTGTTCATCAGATTTTTTTTTTAATTTCCTTGGTTTTTAGATTCACTTGTTGATAGTTACGTATTTGTTGTTCATAATTTTTATCTTTATTTACTCTCTCTTCTGAAAGAACCCCCTTCAGGAATTCATATAATTCTGGTTTGGTGGTGGTGAACTTTTTTAGCTTTTTTTTTTTTTTATTAGTGAAGCTCTTTATCTGGCCTTTGATTCTGAGTGATAGCTTTGCTGGATAGATTATCTTTGGCTGTAGGTTCTTACTATTCATCACCTTGAATATTTCTTGCCATTCCCGTCTGGCCTGCATGGTTTCTGTTGAGAAGTAACCTGACAATCGTATAGGTGCTCCTTTATAGGTAACTACCTTCTTTGCTCTTGCTGCTTTTATAATAATATTTTCTCTTTGTCTTTTGCTCTTGGAATTTTAATTATGATTTGTCTTGGTGTGGTCTTCTTTGGATTCCTTTTGTTTGGAGTTCTGTGTGCTTCCTGGACTTATAAGTCTAATTCTTTCACCAGGTGGGGGAAGTTTTCGGTCACTATTTCTTTCAGTATGTTTTCAATATTTTGCTCTCTCTCATCTTCTAGGACCCCCATAATTCTGATGTTGGTTTGCTTGAAGTTGTCCCAGAGGTTTCTTACATTATCTTCAATTTTCTGGATTCTCTTGCCTTCTTGCTTCTATGGAAGAGTGTCTTCTGGCTCTTTATGTTCCAAATCTTTGACTTGATTCTTGCGATCTTCCATTCTGTTTTTAGGACTCTGTATATTATTTTTTATTTCAGACAATGTATTCTTTGTTTCCTGTTGATCCCTTATTATTTCTAGTTGATCACTTTTCATATCCTCATAGGTCTCGTTTATTTTATCGGCCTTTTCTAGGAGATTCTTGAATAACCTTATAAGTGTGGTTTTGAACTCTACATTCAGTCGCTTTTTGTCCTCCATTTCTTTCGTTTGTGATCTATTTCGATGTCTCGGCATTTTCGCAGCTTCCCTAATGGGGCGGGGTTTCAGGGTGGAGCCAACAGCCTTGGCTTCCATCAGCCCCGCCCTATGGGGTTCCTGAGTCTCAGTAATCCCCAGGGTCCTTCAATACTCGCTGCAAGCACCTCTGAGAGAAAGGTGTCCTCGATTTTCGCCTGCTACCAAACAGTCTAGGCTCTCTCCCAATGAGCCCGGAACTGGGGTTCAGTTCAGTTGGAAGTGGGGTTGGAGGTGGCGTTCAGAGCAGTCTGGAGCCCCTGTCTCCTTCCCGCCAGGGCAATCCCACGGCACAGCCAACCATCACTTCCCTGCGCGCAATGTGTGCGCCTCTGGGACCTCCTTTCGCCGCTCCCCCGGGGTTCCACCTTACAGCCCAGCTCCCTCTGTTTGAGCCCCTCTGTCCGCAGGGGTCTGGCCTAGAACTGGGGTTCAGAGAAGTCGGAACTGGGGCCCAGCACCGTCCGGAGCCTTTGATTCCTTCTGGCAGCAGTCAACAGTCCGTCTTCTGCGCACAATGTGCGCGCCTCCAGGACTGCCTCTCCGCGCGCGCCGTGTGTCTCCATACCTTAGGCTTTTCCAGCTCCTCCGCTCTTCCTTCTGGTTTTTTCCTTGCTTCTCGTTGTAGAATTTCCAGTCAGTCTACTTTCCTGTAATTCTGGGTAATGTCCATTTTATATTTTAGTTGTATTTTATTGAAATTGTTGTGTGCGGCTGCGGTTAGGTGTTTACCTGTGCAGCCATCTTGGATTCTCCCTTCTAGGTTGAGTCTTGACAGATTAAGAGATTCTCAAGCTCTCTTCTATAGGCAGGAGACTGGAGAGCCTCCATAGGTGACACAGATGTGGGTTGGCTCCCCCTGGAGAACAAGGAGGAAACGATGTGCCTTTCCCTGGACCCTTCAACCCAAGACAAAAAGCCCTTAAGCTGCTAGGGGAGAAACAAGACTGCTCCTGAACCCAGAGCCCAAGCAAAGACCCCAAGTTTCTAGGGAGGATGATGAAAAGTTAAAGAATGCAACAAATTCATAAAAAGCAATACTTTCCTGCCTCGGGGCACAGGGTAAGAGTCCTCCTGGCATAGGCCACTGGCAAAGATACCTTGACTTGGAGGAAGGTAAAAGCAAAACACCTCTGGCCCAGAGGAAGGGGCCTACCTGGGTCAAGGATCTGGCAAGATCACAAAGTGGAAGTCAAGAGAGAAACCAAGATGGCGGCATAGAGTAGACACCCGAATGCAGCCTACCACAACAAATTTGAATTTAGAACTGAAAAACAGGGGAAACATCGGATGGCTGGCTGAGAGGAGGATCTACCATCTGGGAAGGAGAGAGAAGGCATGCTGAACCTCAGGAACTGTAAAGATGTGGAGAACTGTGCGTGCGAAAAGGCGGCCGCCCGACTTCGCTGCTGGCTTGCTTTCGGAGCGTGGAGAGGGCGGGCTGAGTTCGCTGCTGGCTTACTCCCGGCACGGAGAGGGTGGACAGCTAACGCGCGGCTGGCTTTCTTGTTCGGGAGGAAAACAGAACCACCTTATTGCTCTGATGGACGGCCCCAGACAGGGAGAGGCCAGACTGTCAGGAAGTAGGCAGAGATCACTCGGAGGTGTGTGAAGCCAGCGGTCATTACTGCGGGACTCAGAAACCAGACCCTCGTAGGGAGGAGCTGAATAAAGCTTGTCTGCACCACCCGAGACTCCGCCCCATCCAAGCAGAGCACAGAAGCCCTTCCAGTGGCTAGCTTTCTTGTTCGGAGTGAATGGGACTCTCCTAGGGAGTGACAGACAGGAATCTAAAGCTTGTCTGCACCTATACCAAAAAGGTGTGCGTGTCTGCAACCAATTGTGCGGGATTCAACAAAGCGTGTCTGTGCCACCCCGAGACTTCTCCCCATTCAAGCAAAATACAGAAACCCTCTTAGCTGAGACACTTCTGATCTTTATAGCCAATTGGCTTGGAGATCAACGCTTCCCAGTGATACCAACAACAAGCAAGGCTTAACAACAAGACTGCACACACAGCCCAAAGGGCTACACCAAGACTGTCCACCTCACGTAACTGGGAGGTTGACTCACTGAACCATATAGTACACCTTAGCACACAAAGCCACCCTACCAACTCAGGGAAGCTGTGAAAATGCCAAGACAAGGAAACCGTTCACAAACAAAAGAAATGGAGGAAAAGAAGCGACTGGATATAGAGTTCAAAACCATGCTTATAAGGTTTTTCAAGAATTTCCTAGAAAAGGTCGATAAGACCTATGAGGATATGAAAAGTGATCAACTAAAAATAATAAGGGATCAACAAGAAATAAAGAATACATTGTCTGAAATAAAAAAATAATATACAAAGTCCTAAAAACAGAATGGAAGATCACAAGAATCAAGTCAAAGATTTGGAACATAAAGAGCCAGAAGACACTCTTCCATAGAAGCAAGAAGACAAGAGAATCCAGAAAGTTGAAGGAAATGTAAGAAACCTCTGGGACAACTTCAAGCAAACCAACATCAGAATTATGGGGGTCCCAGAAGATGAGAGAGAGCAAAATATCGAAAACATACTGAAAGGAATAGTGACAGAAAACTTCCCCCACCTGGTGAAAGAATTAGACTTACAAGTCCAGGAAGTGCACAGAACTCCAAACAAAAGAAATCCAAAGAAGACCACACCAAGACAAATCATAATTAAAATTCCAAGAGCAAAAAACAAAGAGAGAATATTGAAAGCAGCAAGAGCAAAGCAGGTAGTTACCTATAAAGGAGCACCCATACGATTGTCAGCTGATTTCTCAACAGAAACCATGCAGGCCAGATGGGAATGGCAAGAAATATTCAAGGTGATGAATAGCAAGAACCTACAGCCAAAAATAATCTATCCAGCAAAGCTATCACTCAGAATCAAAGGCCAGATAAAGAGCTTCACTAATAAAAAAAAAAAAGCTAAAGGAGTTCATCATCGCCAAACTAGAATTATATGAATTGCTGAAGGGGGTTCTTTTGGAAGAGAAAGTAAATAAAGATAAAAATTATGAACAACAAATACGTAACTATCAACAAGTGAATCTAAAAACCAAGGAAATTAAAAAAAATCTGATGAACAATATTAACTGTTGAATATAATAGAATCAGAAGTATGGAAGGGGAGTGAACTGACGATTCTCGGGGAAAAGGGGAGAGGGGGATGTGGGAAGAGACTGAACATAAACTGTGCACCTATGGATGAGGACAATGGGGGGTGGGGAAAGGGCAGAGGGTGGGGTGTGAACCTGGTGGAGGGGGTGAAAAAATGAACATTTGTAATAATATGAACAATAAAGATTAAAATAATAATAATAATAATATTAAAAAAATAAAAAAGGCAAAAAAAAAAACACAAAAAAACAAAAACAAACAAAATAAACAAAGTGGAAGTCAAGCTGCTGCTGGGGAATGAAGGGGCAGGGATGCTGAGAAAGCCCCTGCCAAAAGCCTTGGGCCTGGGCCTAAGGCTGGACCAGGAGGAGGGAGCACTCTCTTCCCATCTCCCCCAAGTCCATCACCAGACAAGTAACAGCTGTCTCACGAGTGAGGTTGGGTTTGCGGGGTCAACAGTAGGGAGATCTCTCTGTGCCACAGCCACAGGAGACTCCTGAAAGCTGAGTATGAAGCAAGACCACAGAGAATAACATTCCACACTCAGGCCCCACCTGGGGCTCCCTACCAGAAGCTATCGGCTGGAGAAACCTGAAGCCTGTGGTACACTGAAGATAACCATAGTAACAATAAAACTCAAACCTACACCTGACTGGATCAACTCGAGGACCCTACTGAGGGCCTGACAGAGCAGCAGCACTCCCATTTCCAGATATAACACTATTTCCCTCAGTCTCTGTATTTTTTAAACATGATTTCTAATAATCAAAAGAGAGAATAAAAACTTAGCAAGATAATTATCAGAATCATACTCAAAACCAACTCAAATACTGGAACTATCAGACAGGAACTTTAAAATAACTATATTAACATAATAAAACATTTAGTTAGAAAAACGTGCATGCAAAGCCTGGCTGGCATGGCTCAGTGGTTGAGCATCAACCTATGATCCAGGTGGTCACGGTTCAATTCCCAGTCAAGGGCACATGACCAGGTTGCAGACTCCAGCCCCATTGTGGGGCATACATTGATTGGAGGTAGCCAATCAATGGTTCTTTCTCATCATTGATGTTTCCCTCCCTCCCTCCTTCCCTCTCTCCCTCTCCCTCACTCCCTCCTTCTCTCTCTCTCTCTCTCTCTCTTTCTCTCTCTCTCTCTCTCTCTCTCTCTCTCTCTCTCTCTCTCTCTCTCTCTCTCCATTTCCTCTCTGAAATCAATAAAAAATATATTTTTAAAAACATGAATAACTAGGAAACTTCAGCAGAGATATGGAAAGTTGATTAAAAGACATGTCAAATGGAAAGACTAGGGGGGGGAAGCAAAAATAAATAAACAAACAAACAAATAAATAAATAAAACAAAACAAGTAAAGTATGGTATCAGAGTTGAAGAATCCAATATGTTCATTAGCAGTCTGGGCAGAACTGAGGAGTCATGTCAATTAACTGCAAGACAGAGGGCAATAGAAATTACCCAAACAGAAACAGTGCAGAGACTAAGAAGAACAAAAACAACCTAGAGTTGTAGAGAACATCAAAGGTCCAAATAAATGTAATAAAGTCCAGGAGAAGTGCAAGTGAGCGGGCAGAAGAAATATCTGAAGAGAAACGGACAAGATTTTTCCAAAATTAATGAAAGACAGCAAACCATATATCCAAAAATATGATCCACTGTAAACACCCAGACAAAAGACCAATTCAAGCAGAGTCAGCATCAGGAAACTGTTTTGTTTTGCCCTCCCTCCCCCATTTTTTTTTTTTTTTTTTTAAACAAATGAGAGGTAGGCATAAAGAAGAGCTAGGCACAAAGTGTTATAAATGTTATAGAGGAAAAGTGAATTCCAGGGAGGATCAGTAATGCTAGAGAGCATGGCACTGTGGTGTTCTGTGCTTGACTGACCAAAAGGACAGGCAAGAATCAAACAGCCTCCTGTCCAAGCTTTTAAAATAGGATCCACCAAAGGTGTTTTTTCCTATAGGATTATATCCTTGATTTTATAATGAAAATATCAGATTTTAGAGACTTCAGATACTAGTAGCGTTATGTAGGTAGGTAAGTACACATGTAAAGAGGTGTTTATTTAGTAGTGGAACTTTTTGTTCAAATGATATTTATTGCAGCAATTTAAAAATAAATAGCAAAATCCAATGTATAAAACAGGTAAAAGTGGGACTAGATGAAGCCTCTGACCACTGAGCCACCTGTGCTTGCCTCTCCCTCAGCCTCCATGAAGAGCAACCAAACCAACACCCTTGGTCATGGTCTGCCTCAACTCATTCTTAACAACTAGAAGGAGCAGAGATTGTGGCACCGAGGACCACATGTTTATTGCCCACAGCCCTTGGACTGCCTCTGGGCAGGCACTGCGCTCACTATGCTAGCTGAAGGAAGCCATCCACTGAAATCACTCGGCAGTACAATCAACCACAGGGGATGGAGCCTTCTCATTGTTAGAAGAGCCCTTAATCACCTTACCTTTGAAATAAATTCAGTCACTTCAGAGGAAGATTTGGTTACTGATGTTACTGAAGAGTCAGACCACAAGACCTTAAAAACAAACAAATGAACAAGCCTTAAATACAGACACCACATATGCAATTCACAGCAGGTCTGTCCAGGCATCTTTGCTGGCGCAGGTGCTGGGAACACAACAGGCCCTAGTGAACCGTGTGAACCTATACCCTCTGTCATTCCCTAGTGAACCGTGTGAACCGGAGCATTTACATATCCCTTGACTTGTTGCAGAAAGAGCATTCACCCAGGTCCAAAGCTGAACTTTATGTTTTGTGCAATTACTCAAGCATGGAGTCTAAGGTTTGCTCCTTAAAGTTCTAGGAAGTCACTGATAATTATGACTTGCTGCCAGTAAACATCAGCTTCAAGTGGACCTCCTCTTCTCAGGTCAGTGTACATGACTCTGAATGCAAGTCAACTAAGTTACCAGAAATTAACCCATGCGTCCACACAGTAAGTGCTTGTATGCACCCCTGCCCTCAGGAATCTCACAGAACTGGGGGCCCCACGAGAGTAAATCCATGACAGCAGGCCAGGGCATCAGTACTAAACAGCAGAGAAAAATCTTCCATGGTGGGAAGTGTAGGAAGAATTCAGAGAGGAAACCTCAGAGAAAGGCTTTCTGGAAGTTCTACAATGCCTGTTATGCCAAAGACCTGACTAAACATATGTGTTTTTTCCTTGCCTGCAGGTTATGACAATGGGCAGTTTTATTTCATTACTTCCTAAGTGTCAGTCTCCCCAAATGGATTGTAAGCTCCTGGAGGAGAGGGCTGGGTCTTTTCTGTTTGTTTTCTCTCAGTATGTCTCACAATGCTTCCACCCACAGTGCTAAGTGCACAAGAGGGGAGAGGAATGGCACCTACAGACATCACCAGAGGACATCCCTGCATGAGAAAAGCATGAGATGAACTGTAATGGGAAAATAAGAAGTATGTTAAAGGAATGGGACAGACAAAGGGACAGAGTGAGATGTGAGGGAGGAAGGGGCCAGAATAAGAAGAGTTAAACCATGAAATAGAAACTTTACCCTAAAATCCAGAAGCCACTGGAGGATTTCAAGTCAAGAAATAAAGTGATCAAATATATATTTTTTTTCTTACTTAAAAAAATATTTTTATTGATTTTTAGAGAGAGGAAGGGAGAGAGACACATAGATGTAGGAGCAAAACATCAATGGGTTGCCTCCTCCATGCCCCCTGCCGGGGATATCAAGCCCACAACCCGGTCATGTGCCTGACTAAGAATCAAACTGGTGACCTTTCAGTGCACAGAATGACACCCAATCAATTGAGCCACACCAGCCAGGGCCCCAAATGTATTTTATTACCCAAAATAAAGTATTATTTTTATACTGATTTAGAGCAAACAGAGCTCATAAATACCAAAAACTTCTGCTCCCCCCACCGGCTCTCAACATGTATGCTGAGGGACTCCTGTGGCCTGGAAGGACTGCCATCTCCCTTCTTGCCTGCTGACATTCACATTTTATTTCAGCAGTTGTCATACCACACAAAAATTACCAAGGCTTCTGTTTCATCAAGCTTCCACTAAATACAAGCTAATTGAGGAAAAGGGCCATCTACTTTATCTTTGAATTTCCAACATCTTCAGAAATTCACCAGCAAGGCGAGCACTATATTCTTTGAACAAACCAGCCTTGCCTCTAAAACCTGCCTACATTAAAATGAAAATATCTAAACCTTTTGTGTCTAAAATAATTAAATCTGCCTGGCCAGTGTTGCTCAATGATTGAATGTTGATCCATGAACCAAGAGTTCATTGGTTTGATTCCCAGCCTTGGTTTTGGGCTCAATCCCCAGTAATGAATGTGTGGGTGGGAGGCAGCCATTAATGTCTCTCTCTCATCAATGTTTCTATTCTCTCTCCCTCTAAAATCAATAAAAGTATATTTAAAAAAAAATAAAATCTTATGACAACATTAAAATGAAATTTGGTAGTGGTGTTGGAGAAAGCTGCTACCCACATAAAACACAAGTAACATCTATAATTAAAGGTGAAAACTGTCTAGTCATCAGATGTTTTACTCAAAGCACTGTTGACATGTTGTATTTTTCAAAGTAAAAGATGTGGAAAACTTTTTCCTTATAACTCTTACACTATGATAACAATCTGTTTCTAGTTTAAATCTCTTCTCTCTCCTTCCACATTCATATCACATGAACATGTCCTTAACAACTAAAACATGAAATTCAATACCCAAAAAGTAAGGGTAGCATGGACAGACCATTTTCTGTTCAAATAGACAATTTGTATCCTCAACAATGATGTACTTTAACTGGGTACAACCATCTTAGGTTCTCTGTTCCTGATAAGTTTTCCTTTTGCTTCCAAAAGGAGCTGATAATTTCAACTGTGGGCAGACAGAAAGTAAGGACCAGAAACAAGCACTCAATTCCATGCTGAGCCCAGCACCACTGTGTTCCACAGATGCAGAATTATTTCACCCTCATACCCTCTACCTCTGCCTCCCTCGCTTACCCATTCCCCTGAACAAGGTGAAGAGTCAGGCCACAGAGGGACATGGATATGAGAAAAGCCTCACGTCACACCACATGAGGCTCTTTGGCCCCTTAAGTGTGGCTCTTCCACAAAATACCACGCCTGGGCGAGTCTATTTTGAAGAAGTGGCGTCAGAAGTTTAAGTTGAAAAAATTTGGCTCTCCAAAGAAATTTCAATCGTTGTACTGTTGATATTTGGCTCTGTTGACTAATGAGTTTGCCGACCACTGTGCTAGAGCGATGCATGCCCCGTCAAACACAAGGTGGCATTAATTGTAAGCTGCCCCATTATTTTACATACCAAGAAAACATGTTACCAATCAAATTATGGCACATTTTCCTACCACTTACTCAGAGAGTTACTTAGCCTTACTGAGACAGATTTAACACATCTTAAGCATACACAAAAAGCAAAATATGCACAAAATAGATATGTACTTAGGATTTCTTCACTCAAGAATCTAATGCTTAGTCACTTTTCACCTCAGTTCACAATAGTACTGTTTTTCCACATGGCATCACACTCCAGAGCATGTGGAGTGACATTTTCTTTGCCCACACAGGAATTCACCAAGCCAGAGGCCCCTGCCCACTGCTCATCCTCATCCATAAGATAAGTGGGAGACTCAGTGCCACCACACCTATTCCCAGCTCTCTGAGAAGTCCCAAAGCAACCACAAAGATGAGCAAGGCAGCCGAAACCAGTTTGACTCAGTGGATAGAGCACCGGCCTGTGGGCTGAAAGGCCCTAGATTCGATTCCGGTCAAGGGCATGTACCTTGGTTGCGGACACACCCCCAATAGGGGGTGTGCAAGAGGCAGCTGATCAATGATTCTCATCAATGTTTCTTTCTCTCTATCCCTCTCTCTTCCTCTCTGTAAAAAAAAAATCAATAATTTAAGCAGTGACATGGAAAGAGGCCGCTTGGAGAAAGCACAGACCATGCATGAAAAAAACTTATAAAAAGTTAAAACTATCAATAATATTCTCAGTGAACTAAGAAGAAAGCATAGCCAAAGACAAGATGAAAAAAAGTCACAGAAAAAGTGTTTTTTGAAATTAAAAATAGAAGAGCAAAATTGAAAAATTCGATTGAAAAGATGGAAGATGAGATAATCTTCCATAAAGTAGATAAAACAAACAAACAAACAAAAAGTAAATGGGAAAGAAAATAAGATGGAGCCAAAGGACCAGTCTTGAGGCCCAACATGCAGATAACAGGAATTCCAAACAAATTAGAAACAGAGAAAAATGCAATAGGGAATCAAAAGAAATGATTCAAGAACAGGTCCCCAAATGGATGGATGTTTTTAGACTGAAAGGAACACTGAACCTCAGCTTATGATGACCACGGACCTACACTCAAGCAAGTTTCTGAGAAATGTACTAAGAAAATCCTGAAAACGGCTGGAGACTGTAAAACAGGCCATAGTGCAGGATCAAGGCACCAAAACAGAGTACTGATTCCCAACAGCAATCCTGAAAGGTAATCAATAAGCAGTGCTTTCAAAGTCTTGAGGAAAATGATACAACTTAAAATGGTATTCTCAATGTCAGAGTGACAGTTCAGAGGCACTTCCAAAGAGACATGAAAAGTCTCATAAACTGTACCTCCCAAGTACCCTTTTTAAGAAGCAAGCAGTCTCACATGGATGTTTCTCCCTCTTCCCTTCCACTCTCTAAATACTAACTTAAGACAAAAGATGACCTAAGACTCAAGAGCAGGGGGGGAGGAAAGAGCCTCTAGGTAATGATGAAAGGGGGATCATGATGAGCAAGAGGGGATCATGATGAGCATGATGAGAGCTGTGTACAGGGCTGTAGACCTGGAGTCCAGGAGAAGCATAACTACCGCTCCAAAGATGAAACTGGGATACTGGACATTTCTCAACGAGGGGAATTTTAGACATCCAGGGAAAACCTTAGGGGTGAAGTCTTTTTGTTAAGTATTTGTCTCAGCAAAATAACAAGTAAAAGGAAAACACAATGTAGGAATGGAAAAGTACTACCATATGGCTCCAGTCAACAACCTTTACATAGTCACACTAATTATCATTCAACTGCTGAGACATACGAAAAGAAACAGTTCCCTGTGACTCCCGGCAATGTATGAAGGATTACTGGACTCTAAACTCTGCATATGTGTGTGTGTGTGTGTATATATATCATGAAAACAAAAACTAAATTTAAAAAAATAGTTGACAAGATTCATCTTTTGCTAACAGTGATAAAATATTCAGAGCAGTTAAGACTGTTTTGAGATGACAAATTAAATTTTTACCCTGACTGGTGTTTCAGTGGCTAGAGCTTGGGCTTATACACTGGAGGGTTGTGGGTTTGATTCCTTATTGCAGGTTAGATCCCTGGCCCCAGTTGGGGTTCAGGAGGCAACCTATAGATAAGTCAGTCTCACATGGATGTTTCTCCCTCTTCCCTTCCACTCTCTCTAAAAATCAATGGGAAAAAATTCTTGGGTGAGGATTATTTTAAAACAATTAAATTTTAAAGA